ATTTTATAAGAGGGGCTAAAATTTACAAGCTTTAAAATTAAGGATGGGGTAAATGCACACACAATGAATGAATTTAGAAGATAGCAGCAAATTCCATCAATTCTGGACACTATTTCATCATATATCAACATCTAAAAAATCTAATTAATGTGGAAGGGTTTGATTTAAAATCCTCATTGAACCCCAGTGGGAGACGGGACAGGGAGCAAATGAATCCCAACCTGTTTTTGGCCTCATCACCTCTTTAAAAACAATGTATCTCAGTGCACCTATAAAATGAAGACTTTTAGAGGTACAATAGAGTCTGTGAATATTTCTTCTTTACTACTCATCCTCATCTGTATTTTTCCTCACTTACCAATATGTTTCATGAGACAAACAGAATGAATCTGCAGTGTTTTGATAATGTTAATATCTCTTTGTGAGTAACATGGAGCTCTTGACCCACACACATTATAGAGTCCTTAAAAGCAACACAACAAAGATCCTGCAGGCTTCACTGATTAATCCATTGTGATTTGTTTACTGTATTTCAGTGGGTGGACACACACTCCCACACATGCATAAAGCCAATATATATCCTTAGTGATACAGTGCAGAACATTACATAAAATAGTAATTTATAAGAGATTGCCATTATGAAATAATGCCCTGTTTAATCACAGCAGCAAATAAAACAATGGCTTACAAATACAGAGGGAAACATTCCTCCCAGTGGCAGCGTTATCATTTATGATGCTTTATAGATGTATCTGTGATCTCTTAGAGCCCATTTGCAATATACAACACAGGAAGCAGACTGGGAGCAGACTGTGCACATTAATCATCTGACTCTCATACGAGAATATTACACAGTGTAGGGAAGTGAGAGCCACATTTCATCTTCGAGCACTTTAGCTTTCTCTGTTTGGTTAGTGCTGATCATTCTGTCTTCCTGTCTGTGTGGGTTATGTATCTCACTCCACCTCTTACCTTTTATATATCAACACAAATATACTGTCATTATAATGGATGAGTCTAGTGTACATGCACCTAAATGTAATTTGCTATTAATACACATTGGAATCAATCTGCAAACCTTTGTCAAGAAATGTAAAAGGTGGCTGGTTGAAGTATAGCTGCTAAATCCAGCCTCCTCCATGTTAGCAAATGGGACGTTGACCAACAAATAGTCAAAGCACATACATAAATATCTTTTTCTCAAAGATGATTTCTGTTATTGTAGGTGTCATTTACTACTTTTGTTAATTTTGGTTAGTTATTTGATGCTTTAAAAATGTCATGATTGAAAGCTATGACTGACGCTCATGTATCAATGACGCCTCAGTACTGCGTTTAAATCCCATAACTCAGGCTCCAAATGTGCCAGATGGCAGCGTTCGTATCTAGGATATTTTGGCTTCATGTCTGGGTAGTGGGAGTTAGTGGAGATGCGACCATCTTTATATACAGTCCGTGGCTTAGACACATTAGACGACTTTTCCCTAAGGTTGCAGCCGGGAGGCAGTTGAGTGATTAGCGAGACTATCCTTTAGCGGATGGATCAGACATTAAGCCTTCATCACAGTGAGCATAAACCCTCATGAAGCATCATTCGGAAAAACACTGAACTCACCTCCAGCTCCTATGAGCTGATCTGTCTGACCTCTCTGGGGAGGAAGGGGGGCAAACAAATATTGTTACCTCCTACCTCCCTTCAGATTTAATTAATAACAGAGGAGTCAAGGATTCACATGCCTATACCGGTTGTAAGGTCAGTAACCATGGCTGTTTTTCCTTGTTCTAATTATGATCCTTTAATTGTGTTTTTATTGTGTTCATTATCACTCTCCCAATGTAGTGAAACACTATTTATTCCGACCTTCAGCTTCACGTTTGCATTAGCTGGTTTATTTTGGTATCATGTTCAATATTTGACCAGGTATTTACTTATAAGGTTTAGTTTGGTCTCAAAATTGCCACTGCACTTAAGCCACTCCACATTCACACACGTGTTTTTCACATGAGAAACAACACGGTACATGAATTAAACTAGATCTGCGGTTTTCAAACATATTTTTTCTCTTCTCACTCGTCCATAGTGTAAGAAGACACGTAAGTTCAACCTTCGATGTTCTCCTCCTTTGGGGTGTTGGTTTTCTACCTTGTGCTTTAATTGTACCTGTTGCATTATGGATGCTGGGGTCACACCTTGTATCAGCAAGTGAGACAACACTATTGAATATCACTGTGTGTGTATGACACTGACACTTTGACATCACGTGTTCCAACCACGTTAACTAAGACAAACCTTTGACATGACAACAAAGAAGTAATGAAAACAAGTGCACATGTTGGGTCACGTGCATGAGAGGATTAGTATTAATCTTTAAATACGCTACATTATTTATCACTGATAAGTCCTATATGGTTAGAAATTCCTACAGTGGTTCCATCAATTTTTCAATTTTAGTGATATTGGCAAAACTACACATTTACACTTTTCTTAGCTCGATGTTGGAAAGTTTTATGGCAAGGTGAAAGACAAAGCTTCGGCTACTCCCGATGGCAGAGAGGGCAGCAGCCAGGAGGACGAGGTACTTGCAAGAAAAGATGAGAGGAATAATAAACACCAGGAAAACAACGTCAGGGAGACTGATGGCAGTGACGAAGGGCAGGAGGAGACGAAGCAATGAGGCAGCAAGGAGAATCATCAGTTAGTGAAAGT